TCTATTAAATGGCTGCTATTCTGATATTATAAAAATATTACAAATATTTCAATTACCATGAAAGGCATCTCCTGTTTACCCAACCAACACTACATTCATTACTTTTACATTACTTTTGGGAATGCAATTTTTTCCTCAGTTGCCAGTTTAAATATTATTTCTCCTTCCTTAAGTGTGTGGCGTATTCAAAGTTCTGGCCTTCCGACGTTTTGTTTGTTCTTCTCCTGCCAGACTGTTGCATATTTATCTTTGAAGCGACTGTCTAGTATAGTTCGACATGTCCTGGCAGCCTTGATGTCACAGTCTCTCCCGGAAGTTGACTTTGACCCTGAACTGGTTTCTGTTTGCACAGATTGTGACCGTTCTACCGAGATGTTTCAAAATGACAGTGAAATATTGAAACGAAGATACCGTGTCGTGTTTTGTTTATTCATGATTTTGCGCTACATGGTGGACTTTGTTTGACCGTCCAACAGGACGTATGTGCAATGTGCATTTTAATCTGGCATCTATCTGGTCGAAAGCCAATGTGGAACGAAAACGGCTTTCGCCCATTAGCCGGATGAGGTAGCTTAGTCGTCCTGCCGCATCCTTTACTAAATATTGATTGCAATCGGGCCGAATCAAATTCAATTACTAGGATCGAGCTGCGTACTCCGGAAGCTCTCTCCTTTTGTCTGTCCATCCGTCTCGATGGATTTCCTTTTTCCCTGCGTAGGTCTATAAATAGCCGTTGCCAGGCATCTCGAAGCATCCAGCAGTCGGTATTTCAACCTCCTCGCAAAAGGGACTCGCATATTCACATGTGTGTGGGTTTGGGTATGTGGATGTCAGTGGGAGTGGCAGTGCGGTTGGGGATAATACGTTTTCAGGTCCTTTACGCAAGGACGGCACATGCATCATTAAAAATTCAGCAAGTGTAAATTAAAAAGAACCATACAAGACGTCGCCATCCTGCACGTAGGTGCATCTTCCTTTCTTCCTATTACTCTTCAGATATTTTCAATAAGACAACGTGCTGTTTTCCTCACAATTGTGGTCACTATAATATACCTAATTTTTTTTTAAAGCTTAAGAGTAGGATAAAAGTTCTCACATGACTTTTCCCAATATGTATGCAGCAAGTTTTTTTTTCTTAAAACATTATTTTTAATTGACACTCAAAATATTATGGCATTTACCTCGAATGTTAAGAGGAGTTCCATACATTGGCTGTTTTAAAATTTAGCTTGCTGCATACCAGATGAGTTGGCGGGCAAACAAGAAAGTTCAGATTAAATTTCCTTGCGGAACATGAAAGTGCTTTGCAGCCGTTTGGGTTAAAAATATTACAAAGCCCTGTACTGGAAGTTATCACGAGTCCTGGAAGATGTGCGAGGCGGTGGCTTCAAAATACTTAATTACATTTTCAACGCACGCAGCTCTGCACATGCGATGCATCCATCACTGAGGCACAGGAAATTGTCGAGGGGGGCTGCCGCTTCTAAGCAGCGAAACTGGATCCCCGATTGATGCTCTTCCGCGTAGCTATCGCATTTCTTTAGCCCGGGCTGACTATCTATCAAAGAATGAAAACACACATGCACAGCGAGAGAAAATGTTTAAGCCTTAAAGTAAAAATTAAAATCAATGTTCTTAAAAGCTGTATGGCTGTTTAGAAGTCATTGCTGGAGTGATTAGTAAACTTTTGATATTAGAAAAGATACCTGTTTTTCGCGGTGTTCGTCCAACTTTATGACATTTTCAATATTTTTATACCCTTGCAGAGGGTATTATAATTTTGTCCAAAAGTGTGCAACGCAGTGAAGGAGACATCTCCGACCCTATAAAGTATATATATTCTTGATCAGGATCACCTCCTGAGTTGATATGAGCATGTCCGTCTGTCCGTCTGTCCGTCTGTCCGTCTGTCCGTCTGTCTGTTTCTACGCAAACTAGTCTCTCAGTTTTAAAGCTATCGTCTTGAAACTTTGCACACACCCTTCTTTCCTTTGCACGCAGTATATAAGTCGGAACGGCCCGGATCGGCCGACTATATCCTATAGCTGCCATATAACTGATTGATCGGAAATGGTATAACTTTGGTATTTTTAGAGTTAGAGAGTTCAAATTTCACATGAGAGCTATTTTTGGCAAAATATTACGACATGCCAAATTTCATAAGGATCGGCCGACTATATCCTATAGCTGTCATATAACTGAACGATCGGAAATGACCCAACTTTCGTGTTTTTGAAGATAGAAAGCTGGAATTTAGTACAGACTCTATTTTTGGTCAGTTGATCCAACCTACCAAATTTCATTAGGATCGGCCGACTATATCCTATAGCTGCCATATAACTGAACGATCGGAAATGGTATTTGGTAGAAATATCAACTTTCGTATTTTTGAAGATAGAAGCTTGGGACTTTTTTTAGATTTTGTATTGTAATAAATTGGAGTATATATTCCTATTCCCATAAGGATCGGCCAACTATATCCGATGTTTGCGATATATATCCGGTTTTAACTGCAAGGGTATATAAACTTCGGCTCAGCCCGAAGTTAGCTTTCCTTTCTTGTTTTTTTATATTTCCATTTTGCACCTACATACATGCTTTGTGAGAAAAAGCGCTTTTGTCGGCGGAATGGCGGATGTTGCCTTAGCGTGTGTGTATGTGAAATGTGTAAATTTGTGTCCCACACATGAAGTCGATAAAACTGTTGGACTTTGCATGTCAGGTTCTCCATCCAAGGGAGGAACAAGCCCACCTCGCATTTCCCATGCTCACTCGCCAATCAAGCGATGCCTTTGTCCTTTTCTGGGCCGCCACAGTAAAACTGTCATTGTCATTTAAATGTCTTTTGACTGCTACTGTTGCTCAGATGCCCAGGCTGAGTCCCACACATACACCCACCAGGAGAGAACTATTCACAGAAATTAAATTGAAAATGGAGGTCCGTGCCCCATTGTTTAAAAAGCTCGACAGAAACCCACTCGATCTACCCAACTGGGTGCCAGTAACCGGTTGTTCTGCCAGAGGCTGCATCACCTATGTGGTGCGCTTTATTTTTAGGAAATAATGAAATTCTGTGGTTTATTCAACTACAAAAATAGAGCTAAATAAATATTGTTTAACATTTAATTTTGTATGGAGCTTTTGCGACATATAATCATTCATAAAAGATTAATTTTAAACCTCTACCAAGTTATACCAAACATATTTTAACGAAAATTGGCATTTTCAAACAAATTGAGTTATTATCGCTGGCAGGTAATTAATCTGTGATAAACGATTTGTGTTTAATTAAATAAATCAATGTTTCGAAAAGTACAAGGCTTAATGTTAGACTGGCATTTGAATGTAACCCAGATTGCAGTTTGTTAAAGCTTTTAATTCAATGGCACGGTTGTCAACCGGTCGCTGGTTAAAGTGTTTGCCATTGTAATACGAATTTAATGGTAACTCAAACATGGCGAGCAGCCGGCGCATAGTTGCCACCTTATCAAACAGGAATCATGTGTATATATGCTATCCACACATCGGAGCTTTACGCTCCTGGCGAGGCCAAAGTTGTGTTTATATCGAAATTCTAAACTAAGTGCTGAGCGCGAACATTTGCGTATAAATGTGCATTGCCGCCACAATCCCTAACCCTATATATCTAGTATGTGTACTTTCTATAACCGTGAATGAGGGTATCGACATTTGTAGGATTTCGGAGTGAGATTGGGCCTCCTCGACGTCGGGAATTTTTGTCATGGCAGCTGCCTGACGGGGGGTTCAATATTCAATTAATCATTTTGTGTATTGATGGCTTCAGCTGAATGTTTGTGGTAACAAAATTTGGCCACATCCAGATGCCAGTCTTTAACTCAAACCAGATTTCTGTACAAATGAAAAATCTTTTCATTTTAGGGAGCATGATTTGGCAAGTTTCAATTATAACTTTGGTATGAAGATTGGTATGAAGAATGGTGGGGAATTGATCTAGAAATCGTTTAAGGATGCGAATCGGATGAGAATTGGGGAAAATATAACCATCACTGTGGACCCTAGAGACGAAAACTCCATTTCAAGGGAAAAAATCTAAAAAATATTTTGTCTCAGGATTTTGATGCAGAATGGTGGAGAATCTATCCTGAAATCGTTTAAGGTACGATTCTTATCCGCTTGAGAATCGGATAAGAATTGGGGAAGATATAGCCATCACTGTGGGCCCTAGAGGCGAAAACCCCATTTCAAGGGATCCCATCACGAAAAATGGACAGAAAATCTAAAAAATATTTTGTCTCAGGATTTTGATGCAGAATGGTGGAGAATCGATCCAGAAATCATTTAAGGTACTCCGCTTGAGAATCGGATAAGAATTAAGGAAGATATAGCCATCACTGTGGGCCCTAAAGGGGAAAACCCCATTTTCAAGGGATCCCGGAAAATAGACAAAAAATCTAAAAAATATTTTGTTTCAGGATTTTTGTGCAGCATGGTGGAGAACCAATCTAGAAATCGTTTAAGGTACTCCGCTTGAGAATCAGATGACAATTGGGGAAAATATAGCCATCACTGTGGACCCCATATTCAAGGGATACGAAAAATGGATAAAAAATCTAAAAAATATATTGAGAACAAATGAGAATTCAGGCAACAAATATTTCAGTTTTAATTTTAATGCCAAGGCTACACTCCAGAGCTCATCCGGACCTAGCACCGGATTAGAAAATCCTTTTAGGGAAAGCATGAAGCACAAAGCATGCGAAATAGATGCCTCTCATCCAGCTGCCCCACGAGGTATGCAACAGTTTTGCCATTGAATGCGGTCAGTGCAGCCATATTGAAAATTTTAATTGGGAACAGGAGAGGATCCGGTAGAATGGAAAATACGGCAACAGATAGACGGGGTCCGGATTTATGCGCAATTTATGCACTACGGTGCAGTGGGAGTTTCAGTTCAATTTTGTTCGAATAGCCCGAAGCCTTATACTTGCAAATATTAACCGACTGATTGTTTTTTCCAGACTTTGATTGGCTGAACCGACAGGATGATGCGCACTTCGATGGTCAAGCAGCCCTAAATTAAAATCGAATTGTAGAGCCCTGAGCGCCTACGGCGGCAATAAGGTCCGCCAAGGCCAAACGAATTAAAATCCAGCTACGGATATTTGATTTTGGCCACCGCGGGGTACAAAACCAGCCAGTTTATGTGACTTTCTTTTTGCATACCCATATCGGCCCATACACAAACCCACACGAGACGCGGGTCGCAGCCGCAGGCCACGGACGAACTTGAAATCTGGAATCACAGTGAACGCAGTGGAAATCGGTGTAGCATGTCAAGTGGACGAAGCGCCCGCCTGCCTCCCACGCCCACCCAAACCGCCAACAACAAACACCGGGCGGCAGCAGCAGCAGCGGCGGCGGCAGCAGCAGCCGGAGAGCCAAACAGCAACAGCATGTTGCAATACACCAGCAACAACAGTGGCACAGTTCCGACCACGGCGGGGGGAGCTGCCACCTCAGGCCTGGGAATGGGCAGTGTCATCAGTGGGAGTATGGTGAGCATGGGCGTGGACGTGAGGGTTGGTGGAATGAATATCGGCATGAACAGCGGCATGGGAATGGGCATGGGCATGAACCTGGGCATGGGCAGCAACATATCCGGGGGCGTGGCTCCCTATAGTCTGGGCTCAAACATCGGCAGTACTTGCGAGACGCAGGTGGAGCATATTCCCGTGGATACCATCGATGCTGTGGCCACAACCCAAGTGCTGGAAAATCTCTCCGAGAATGAGCGCAAGATGATCATCGAGGTGCTGAACCGGGACGAGGCTTTGCGCCAAAGGGATGCCACCAGAATGATGTAAGTAATTTTTTATATAAATATTTCATTCGAGTCCTTTTAATTGAGACTTTTCGAGGCTGATAGGATAAGGCTATTGTAAAGTAAATTGAACCACGTTTGAGGAAGTAAAATACCTATAAATTTTATTAAAAACTCCTATCAACATCGAAAAGATCTAATATCCTGCCATTAAAGGACCTTTATTTCTCTTCTACCTCTTGTAAGTTTAATCGAAACTCGTCTCAGAGCCGAACTACTTCATTGCACTTCTGCAACTAACTAAGTCAGGTATTCTTCTTCATTTGAATCCTGTTCGCCAGCCACCCTCGATTCTTGCTTAATTAAATGCGCAAAGAAAAAACGTTTTATTTTTTGGCAGACAATGCACTTTCACTCCAATTGCAGTTGCTAATGCACTTGGAACAAGCTTTTTATTGACTGCACAAACTTTGCCACTCGTCGGCGTTGGCATTCTCTGCGGTATTTTGTCCTCCGGCTGAAGTGCACGTATCGCACATTTGGCGACCGCAATTTATGGCCCGACATTTGTGCGGTGGCAAGGGTCCTCCAGTCCTTCGGATAAGGATTTTGGGGATGGGGATGGGGCTATGTGCCAGGGCTTACCTGGCGGCACTCGGGCGACAAATCACGCGCTTCTGCCGCTGGCACTGGCAGTGGCATACATCCAGCTGCCAGTCAGCGAGTCCCGCTTGGTTTGGCACTGCTTACCGCCTCTTTAGATGATATCCCAGCAAAACGGTTTTACTTTTAGGGATAGACTGCACTACCTCCTTACCTGTTTAAGTATTTATTATTCAAGTTCAAGTTGTTTCCTTTTTAATAAATGTATGTATTTCCTAAGCAAAGACAATATCCATATTTTACATAAATAATATTTGTCCGAATAAATGTATTACTTAGGATACTCCCCCAAAAAAGAAGTTATTTACCCTCGGAGCTCTTACTGTAGTCAGAAACATCCTTTTTCCGAAGGACAAAAGTTCGCTTTACAGGCGACTTGCCTCCTTTTCAATTTCTTGGGGCACACACTCGTGCCGCAGAAATATTTCGTGACCCTCAACGTATTGTTTGTTGTTCTAGTTCCAGGGCTTTCCCATCCGCTTTTAATGCTTCGTTAACTTGGGAGGAAGATGGGGGAAAAAGGGTGCTGGGCGGATAATGGACCAGGGAGTGGGGAAAGGTAGACAGATCCGGGTTTTATGCTGCATTGGCATTCAAATAACTGGAAAGTGTTTTCATTGTCACGCCGGCGCTGCCACAAAATGGAAAGCAATTTTATTGTCCTCTCACTTCTTTCTTGCTCTATATTTTTTCTCTGGTGCGACATTCACTGTCAGTGCTCGTACACGTTTTCCCTTTTAGACAATTATTTTTAAGGCCTACACAATAAATCGATAAATTCTTGGTTTGCCTTGACGTCACTTAAATTCTTAAATTTTGTGTGCCACAAAGAAAATCAATTAAACCGAGTTTCCCCCCCAAAAAAAAAAAGGAAATGATCTCAAAATAAATTGGAACGAAATGGTTTTTTTTTTTTGGATTTTTGCTGGCGCATAATTAATTAAGTTTATGACGCTTTTCGCAATGCAATCACATCAGCGGCACTTAAAATTTATGAGGACCATTAAGCAGTTCCCGTGTTGGATGGACTTATAGAGACTTATACCGCAACACGAGTCCATGTACATGTACATGTTCCTGTACCCAAGTTAGTACACTTTAATGACGGTATTTTGCGGCCGACATATAAACATATAAACGATTTCAATGGCCTTGCCGGCTCTAGCAATCTCAGTCCATAAATCCCTTCCGTTGGCAACAAAGTTGGCCTGCAACTCCCGCTCTTCCAGTTCCCAGTTCGATTCCTTTTCGTTGGCTTGGCTCATTTGGCCATTTGGCCGTTTGGTGGGTGTGCGCCTTTCAGTCGCCTCTGATTGCTTAATCATGTTGGCCACTGTTGTGGCGGAAATAGCTAAATTGAAAAACGCCATTGGAGATTGGCGAGGGCGAAAGGAAACGCCTGTCGGCCATCGGGTCACATGTGGCAGGTCCTGCGATGTCCTCTCGATATATTCTCTCACGCGTGGCTTGACACCGACTCAACCAACTGGGTCAACAATTGATGCTTTCATCGCCATTAAGTCAGCTGGGGCTACAATGAAGCCCAACTTTTGAATAGAAATGTAAATGTGTGAAAAGCTCTTAGAGTCAGCACAATTGCCTCTGCTAATGCTAAAATTATGCAAAGTCAGGTCCTAATAAAACCCACAATGACCCTTATTTTGTTAAAACTTAATGGACTACCCACAAGAATGATCCATATTTTAAACAGAAATATGAGCTGAGACCTTTGAAGTTCTGGAAGTTGCTTTGAAAAGCTAATGCTTCTTGTTTTGCTCACCTAACCTTCTAATTATCTTTGGCCTAGACATTATAGCTCTCTTCTTGCCACTGCAAAAGTCATGATAGGTGGAACATCCAACAAGTGCACTTCTCTTTCACAGCCTGGCTTAATGAGTTCATGAAATAAGTGCACAGCAATGGCTGGCTCTGGTAACCCCTGAGGATTCCTTTGCTTCACAGGAATGCTTTTTATATTCATTGAAATGAAAATTTATAATTATATTTATGTTTTTGATGAATATATGAATGAAACTTTATACATCTCGCCAATAGGTCAACACAAACATCAAGTTTTATTAAGCAATGTTTACAACATGTTTGAAATTTCTCTCAAACTTTTCAAAACACCATCCAATAGCTGCCAACTTTTGTTCTTTTAAAGTTAAATTTAAGTTATGGCTGACCATCCAACTCAGCGTGGCAGCTTCCACACTCTTACTTCATTTCCGTTAACACACACATTCGAACCGACACCAACAGGGGCACGTTCTCTGAGACTGGAACCAGTAGGATGAGTCGGACGAGGACGAGGGTCTACACATTCATCTAGCTAATAACATTGATAATGTCGGTAATACTTGTTGAGTAAATTAAATCTAATGGAGCGCTCGTTCATCATTCGCCGGCAGAGGGGACTTAATTAAATGTTTTCCCAACAAATGTCTGCTGCGTTCGCCGCCCTCGATATTCAACGAGAAAATACACAGAAAGAATTATTATTCTGGATTTAAATACACAGCAATCACTTTTCTCAGCAAATACTTAAATATTTTATTCATTAACGAAAATGCTATAGAGTCCATTTTATAAATCCCTTTAAAATCGGTTTTAAAGTAAAAGTAATTTTTTTATTTGTAGTTCCTTGTCTTTGACTTGTTGCGTCGCTGTAGTTTAGGATTTGCTTTCTGGCGTTTCTTTAGCCTTGGCTTTCTGCTTTCTAGTTTGAGCATTTTCCTTGATAATGTCGTTGATTACTTTTAATTATAATTTGGCTGCTGGGCAACGAGAATCGCTGCTCATCTGCCGGACTAACTTCTTGTTCTGCTTAGACTTCCACCTTCGGTGCCGCAGTCACTTCCCGTTTGATGGCCATCAGAATGAACTGAAAACTTTTGCGCAGTCAGCTGAAAAGCTGAACAGCGCGGATAAAGCACAACGTTGCCATGGGTCTACACTTTTATTACACCGGCCTTTATGTACATTGTCATCAGTCGCCTTAATTGGCCGCTTAACGCCCACTCACCGCCTGGGATCGGCTCATTAGGTCGTCTGTTCAGGTGTCTGTGCAGGTGCGATGATACTGGGCTAGGTGCTAGGTGCCGGATAGGTGTCCGACCCCAATGACCTCAGTCTCTACGAGGGCGAAAAAATAAGTATCTTGATCCTGTCTTTGATTTCAGTTCACTTGATACTCTTGTCCTGGGGCTCGGGTCTTGGTCGATTGCAATTTGCATGCAAATTAGTCGAGCGAGGGTAGGGATGAGGAAGTGGGTCCCGCGGCAGTTCTAATTAACGCCACGCATGGTAAATGTTTCGCCATATATGCGGTTGCCCGGAATGTTAATAAACATATTTGTGGAACAATGGCTTCGAGCGAGCAAATGCTCCCAGAGTGCCCAGCCGCATGACAAACAGTAATTAAATTCAATTTTAAAATGTTATTCAACCATTATGATATTTGTCAGGGCTGCATGTCAGGTCGGGGCATTCCCTGTTCTATTGCCATTCATTAATGTAACTGCACTCGAAATAGCAGTGAGCAGTGAAGTGGGGGGACGGTTGTTTTTATAAATATTTACTGCAGAAATTCACACGTTGAATGAATGGGAAAAGTGAAACCAAGGTTTAGGTGGAAAGTGTACACTCTTTTTACGGAAGTAGTATTCTTGCTTAAACATAAAATTTATTTAATTAGAAATTGGAGTTGACATTTCATTTGCCATAGCTTAAGGCGACTAGGCAAATACACACAGTCTTGACGCAGACTTCCTTCTTTCTGATAACTTGTATCGGACTAATTTGATTTAATAACACATGCTATGCAAATAATTTCTTTGGAAGCCGCACTCTTTCTTTCAGATAACTTTATCAGAGAAATTAGTTTAAAAACAAATGGAATTCAAATGATTTCTCGAGTACGATAACTTTTATCAGAGTATTTGCATTTGTTTTCCGGATGTATGCAAATATTTGCAAAATCGAGCCCCGGTATATTTTGTTAATTAATGGAAATTGGTAAACAAATAATTCATTGGGAGTTGTTTAAATTTTGCGGGTTTTTCAATAGTAATGCTTACTTAAAAATTAAATTTTAGTGATAGTTCACGAATAATATTTAGTAATCTAAACCTCTTGAAGATAAGTGATTAGAGTTCTTATCAAATCAGGTTTAATGATGAAATATAGACCAATAGTTCTTAATAAGCAACTATTGACAGAAAATATTTCTTGATTTAAGCCATTTTCTTTGGTATTAATTTATTAGGGCTGTCAGAAGTTGGAATTTGTAGCTACCAATAAGGTCAAGAGCCATAATTATGTAGCTTTGATGTTAGAAGTTGGAATGTATTGCTTCCCAAAAGGTCAAGAACAATTATT